AGAGGCTTTGACATATACTATATAGTAGTATGTATATATATATATACACACACACAGAGACAGAGAAGGTCACTGTTTCAGAAGTCACATTTTTCTAAGACCACGAGACGTCAGCACGTAGGTTAGGACTTAGGACCCCACGTGACTGTCTCCATCCACTCTACTTTATTGACTGTTCCTATTGATGGACACTTGGATATACTCCCCCCATCCTTTGTTGTCAAAACTTTTTACTGCTCTTTTTGGGAAGGTGCAAGTTATCACAACCAAGGAGTCTGCGGTAATATATACGAGTACAATAAGTCTATAATATACATACTCCTATATATATACACACACACACACACACACAGAGAGAGAGAGTTGCAGCTTTTATAGCTGTGTGGGTAACAGTAGCTGACTTTTGTTAACTGTTGCTGGGTTCAAATTTGATGTTCCTAAATAAATGTGATTATCAAAATTTAAATCTTGGTTCACTAAATTTTTACTTTATTTTATTTGTTTTTTTTTTTTTCGGAAGTTTTTATTTTATTTGTTCTACGCATATAATTGGAGGAATGAATGGGATAAGATTATTCGTAAATTAAAATAACATGTACGGATGGGGTAGACGAGGTGGCCCACATATGGTTCTCTATTTTTATTATATTAACAAGGTAAAGTACCAAAAAAAAAAAAAAATTCTCTATGAATTATATTTGAATTTATAAATAACCACATGAATTAATTTTATGCCTAAAACTCCTTAAATTATCACATTTTATTATAACATATCCCAAGCCTATACTATATTTCATTAAATGATCATAATAAATTATATTTAATCTATTTTTCTTATATAAATAAATTATAAAAAAATTCATACTAATTTGATGATATATTCTTCATTAAAATTGCATAAATTTATCGTTAATTTTTAAAATTAATTATTTAAGTAAATTTATTTATTAATTTTAAAAAAATAATAATTAACTTTTATTGAATATATTACATGAAAACAAGGTATTTTTGTAAGTTTTTTTTTAAAAGTATTTTATAAATAATAAATTAATCAATTTAGAAAATGGTAGTTACAAATCTATTTATCTTTTTCTTTTTTATGATAGATTGTTACTAATAATAAAATTAAGGTAAATAGTATAATTAATCTTTGCATAAGAGAAAAGATAATAAAAATAATTTAATAAGAAATGAAAAGTTTAATGAGAAAGGGTAAAATAGTCTTTTGTGATGGGTTTTTCCTTAATTGCAACAAATCAATAGTGCAGGAGGCAATTTTTAGTTCAAGAGTTTATTTGCAACAGGATAATAGTTTAGGAGGGATTTTTGCACTTTAATTACCTAATTTCTAAATACTACTATTGTTTTATTGTTATTTGGATATGAAATTTATAGGAGTAGAAAATAAAATATTATGGGTAAATTACACGGACCTCTCCTATGATTTGTCATAAGTATAGGTGGTGGTGGTGGTAGAAGGTAGTGGCGGTGGAAGGCGGTGGCGGTGGAGGTGGCGGTGGAAAGTGGTGGCGGTGGTGAAAGGCAATGACGATACGCGGTGGTAGTGGTGGAAAGCGGTGGGCGATGGTGAAAGTCGGTGGCGGTGGAAAGCAGTGGTAGTGGTGGTGGTGTGAAAGACAGAGGTAGTTGTGGTAAAAGATAGTGGTGATTTTTTTATTTGAAACATAAGGGTTTTTTAGGAAATTAATTTTTTTTTTTTAAAAAAAAAAAAATTACTTGGGAATGAAATGTCCATTTCATAGGTTTTAGTTGTAAAATGAATTTTCATTCAAATGGAATGACCATTACCATTTTAAATTGCATAGCAAACAAATAAATGGTTAGAATGTGTATTCCATTCCATTTTATTCTTGCACACTAAATACAGCATTAAGTTTTCAATTGCAATTCTTATTTGGTAAACCCTCAAAGAGGCGAGGTAGTACATAAAATGTAAAAGGGTTTGAGGCCGTGATAAGATGGCCTTAGAATTGTTGACACCCTAAATATTTAAGATAATTGTTAGAGGGGTTTTGCCCCACATTAAATTCAAATGGGGACAAAATTGAGTATATATGGATGGATATGCAGTACTATTCTATAATTTAAGTTTTTGGATCAGAAAATAATCGCGCAATCTATTATAATTGGTATTAGAGGCCATGTGTACAACAACCATTCCAATTGTTGAGAATTAATGAATGAAGCTTATCATTTTAAATCCTTTCAAATTTTGAGCATATAATAACCTGAATGCTAAAAAGACTAAAGTTGCCCTCTATAATTAAATTAAAAAAAGGTTTAAAAATAATTAAATGTGAAATGACTAAAGTGTCCCCTTTTTTTTTGGTCTCATTCTTCTTATATATATAACGGCATTATTGGAAGAAAAAAATGGTATTTTCATAATTTCATATCTTAAAAATGTCAACTAAAGTTTTAACGAAACAGTGACTTCAAGTTCTTCTTTAATCATTTTCTTTCAAATTTAAATCATTTATGTACAAAAAAAAAAAAAAAAAAACTGGTGGGGGTGATATTTGCTAAAATTTTAAATATTAGGAGTGGTACACTTTGCCCATTAATGTTTAATTTTCTAAATTAGTTTTAAAAAAAAAAAAACTCTTTCTTTTAGGCAAACTTTATACTAATAATAACCTAGATATCCTTAATTCCAACCAAAGCTGAGTTGCACCAAATTGACCACTCACTCTGCCTTTCCTTTCTTCATTTGTTCCTAGCTGCTAAATTTGCCCTACATGCACACAACTTTATTACACACTCAATTTAATTCAAATCACAGGAAACATCAATATACATTTTTGGTATACAAATTTTTTTTTTCACCCTGTAAATGTGTATTGTAAGTTGGCACTTGTCAGCTAGCCTGTACTGTACGGCCTGTGGTGACCCTATTAGTCTACTATTCTTCCCATAATAGCCTCACTTTTGATCACTGATTAGATTAATCATACTCTAGTAGCCAAATCAACGGCTGAGATCAGCGGAATAAAGCATCTCGAAGTTGTTCACCAAGGAATGTTGTCTCCTTTCCTCTTCCAATTTTTAGGCCATGCAGGAGTATAAAACAGCGAAAGCCAATGCTTTTATTTCTAAATTTCATTTTCACTCTCAGGAGAGGAGAGTGAGCTTCACTGTCTATATGCAAAAGTACAATGTCACGTCCCAAGTCAAAGTTTCTTTCATTTTAGCCCCTGTATAGGCGCGTGAGATGAACTCTATGAGAAGTTTTCTGGTTAGTGTCCGTTATAACTTGATTTCATATTTGAACGCTAGATTACAAGTATAAATCCCTTTACCTGTCACCTAAATATTTGGTATATTACAAATTATCATAAAGAATTAGACGTAAGTTACTTGTTTATCAATCACTTACCTCCAAATCCCCTACTATATATAGGACCGTTATATAATTTACATTACAGTAATACAATATACATTTCTTTCTCTCTCTCTCTCTCTCATTTATAACATGATATAAGAGTTATTTACCTTCTTTTTTTTTTTTTTTTTTTTTTTTTTATAAATTTTAAATTTGCACCAGGCTTTCAATAAGTCCATCAAAAATATATTCCGTTAGGTATTCGAACCTGGTCTTCAGCAAGTCCTTTCGCAATTTAGAGTATAATGGACGAAAGTTCAAACTCAGACTATTCCGACGCCACCAAAAACAGCCGGAAAGAAGCATGCACGTGCCCTCTGCACCTTCTTTTGGCCAACCATGCGCCAAGGCACGCTAGATCTACTTTTGCTACGCCTCATACATGCTTAGTTAGTAGCGGTGCCAACAATAATGCCACGTCAGTTGTTAACCGCGCCTCCATCTACATCATGGGTGAAAATCCATGTCCACCAAATTTTTATCAACTTTTACATATTGCCTTCAAGATCAAGTTGGGTTCATACTCACCTTGAATTTGAGTGGCTGTTAGATCACAAATTTACCTCTTTACCTATCACCTAGGTTTTTTTACATATTACAAATTACCATGTATGATTACACCTATTATATTGATATTTATACTTATTTGTTTAGCACTCACCTACCCAAAACCTTATGTTATATATATGATCTTCATGTAATCCACGTCACAACAATACAATATAATACCATTCTCCCTTTATTTCTAACATTGAAGAGAAAAGTTACATTTGACTCCCGCTGTTAAAAAAAACCTACCCCACCTACCCATTAAAAGTTTGAGGGTTTAAAATTTTAAATTCACCGGGTGAGTGTGAGGGTAGTTTCGCGTCAAGGTATTGTGAGGCGAGTTGTTTATATTAAGATCATCTTGGAAAATATTAAAGTCTCGATTGTACTTGATCAAGTGAACCTTATTGCGGAACTCATAATCTAAGAATTGAGCTTGCACAATCGTGACTATGAAAAAATGTTAAGTAACACATATTACCATCCAAATGTCCTTGATCAAATGAACCTTACCATAGAACTCACCTGATCTAACAATTGAGCTTACAAAGTCATGAATATGCGCACAACTCGCCTAATAACGGAATATTTTGAGCTGAATATTTTGAGCTGATTCGTTTACGCTAAGATCATCTTAATATGAAAAAATATTGCGTAACAATTATTACTCTCATATGATCTAAAAATTGAACTTGCACAGTCTTAAATGCACAACTCTCGTAATAAACAAGGCATTTGATCCCATTTTTATGTTAATATCATCTTTATACGAGAAAATGTTAAAGTAACAATTATTACTGTCCCTCGAGTGAACCTTTCGCAGAAATCACAAGATAAAAAAAAATGAGTTTGCACAGTTGTGACCACAACTCTCTTAATCACTTGTACAAAATATATATCTATTTTTTGTGTATAATTTAAAAAAGAGTCCATGACAACAATAATGAGATAAAATTCATAATAGCATTAGTCATATATGAATATAAAAATATATAACTATATATATATATATTAGTACCAGTATTCATTTATTCCAAGAGAAGTTTGAATAGAAAAAGGCTAAAAAGTCTTTATATCTCATACCCAGAGAGAGAGAGAGCAGCAGATCTCAATCCCTTTCTAGTTGCAGAGATCTTTTTGGTGCTCCCAATACACATCAAACCAATATATTATAGAAAGAGTGAAAAATAAAACGAAGAGAGGTCTGAGCTGGTCCTTCTCTGTTTATCTTTCTCAATATCTCTGTTATCAATTTGTCTCTATCCATCTCTTTCTTCATTTGATCCCATGCTCGTCGTCTCCCTCACCTCCATCATATAATACCACCCTTTTGTCTTCAATGTTAGCTTCTCAAGATCCATCCCAACAAAACCCCTTTTTATCCCATCATGAATTCACCACTTTTTCTCTATAAAAAACTATAGATACATATATATATATATATATATATATATAGATATAGATATATATACTGTATTGTAAAGAGTTGGTGAGAGTGTGTGTGTTTTTCACATTTGGGTGAGATGGGTACTGGTTGGAGACGAGCTTTTTGCACGACGGTCCCTAGAGATCGAGAACAACAAAAACAGCATCAACAGAGCTCTCAAAACCAGTCTCCGAGTACTCCTAGAATCTGTGCCAAATTAGGGTTCTTATCTGGTGGAAGCAACCCATCAACACCTCGATTGCAATCTCAATCACAATCTCAATCTCAGTCTGTGTCAAGTACTACTCAATCACAATCTCAATCTCAGTCTGTGTCCAGTACTACTCCTACCTTGCGTTGCCGAACCAGTTCTGTTCAAACATCTTCTGCTGGCGAGAACCTCATCAGCCCCAACCTCCATTGCAAAACCACCACCAGCACACCAAAATCCACCACCAAAAGCCCTAGGACTTTCCTGGGTTCCAACCCATCCTCGCCCAGATCTCCATTTTCAATCTTCAGAAACAGTCTTCGTCTCACCAAAGTAAGTTTATTTTACAAATATATATATATACACACACATATACATATATATGTTTTAGTGCTCATTCATTGGGACATTGTGACAAACAGATTTGACGCAATAGGGATTTTTGGTTTTTTTTGTTGTGTTTCTGCAGAATAACTGTGGAATATGCTCGCAGAGCATGAAGACAGGTCAAAGAATGGCGATATACACAGCGGAATGTTCTCATGCCTTTCACTTCCCCTGCATAGCGGCGCACGTTAGAAAGCAGAGCACTCTGGTGTGTCCAGTCTGCAAATCCGCATGGCGAGACGTGCCTTTACTGGCCATCCACAAGTCTGAACAACCACCTCAAGCACAAGAAGACGAACCCAAAACTACCACCTGTAATTCACAAGAAGAAAACAAGGAAAAGCCAACACTTGCCAATATCAAAATCAAGGCCTATGACGACGACGAGCCGTTGCTGTCGCCGACGGCCGGCGGCCGATTCGTTCCGATACCGGAGGCGGACGAGAACGAAGAAGCCGAAACCGTGCCCGAGGAGATCGAAGAGTTTCAGGGCTTCTTTGTGAATCCGATCCCTTCCTCAACTTCCAGAGATGAGTATTGTTCCATCAATGGCGGCAGAGATTTCCAGAATGTGGAGGTGAAGGTGATGCCGGAGGTGGCCGTGGTTTCGGCCGGAAAGACTCACGAGTCATATGCGGTGGTTCTGAAACTCAAAGCGCCACCTCCTCCGCCGGCGACCCCGCCCGCGCATAATAGCAGCACGGCTCATTTTCTGGACCCGTCGTGTCGTGCGCCCATCGACTTAGTCACCGTGCTCGATGTCAGCGGAAGCATGAGCGGAGCTAAACTTCAGATGCTTAAACGAGCCATGAGATTAGTCATCTCATCACTAGGCTCGTCCGATCGGCTCTCCATAGTCGCATTCTCGGCTTGCCCCAAAAGATTGTTACCTCTCAAAAGAATGACTGTACAAGGCCAGCGCGCGGCTCGGCGAATCATTGATCGTCTCGGCTGCAGCCAAGGCACAAGCGTTGGCGATGCCCTAAGAAAAGCCACCAAAGTCTTGGAAGACCGCCGCGAAAGAAACCCAGTTGCGAGCATCATGCTCTTATCAGACGGGCAGGATGAGCGGGTTCAAACAAGCCATCCGAATCAACGGGGTGATCGTTCCCACGTGTCATCCACTCGCTTCGCTCATATTGAAATTCCCGTACACACGTTCGGGTTCGGTCAGAAAGCCAGCTCCAACTACAGCCGCGAGCCGGTTGAGGATGCATTTGCTAAATGTGTTGGCGGATTATTGAGTGTGGTGGTGCAAGATTTTCGTCTACAGCTCGGGATCGGCTCTGGGTCAGACCCAGCGGAAATCACCGCCGTCTATTCGTGTAATGGACGGCCCACAGTCCTGAGCTCGGGTTCATTTCGGCTAGGTGACCTATACGCCGAGGAGGAAAGAGAATTACTGGTTGAGCTAAGAGTCCCATCTTCGGCTATTGGGGGCCATCATGTACTGTCCGTTAGATGTAATTACAAAGACCCGGCCACCCAAGAGGTGATCAACGGTAGAGATCAGAGTTTGCTTGTGCCTTTACCACAGGGCGTTCGATCAACATCCCCGAAGATCGAGCGGTTGAGGAATCTTTTCATTACTACACGAGCAATAGCGGAGGCTCGGCGATTAATTGAGCACAATGAGGTGTCTAGTGCTCATCGGCTTCTTTCGTCGGCCCGAGCTTTACTGATGCAGTCGAACTCGATAACGGCCGACGAGTACGTTCGCGGATTGGAGGCCGAGTTGGCTGGGCTAGAGTGGCGGCTTCAGTATCAACATCAGATGGAGCAGCAGATGATCCAACGGCGGAGAGTGAACGAAAGGGAGATGGCGTTTGTTGATGAGAATGGTGAGCCGTTAACGCCGACTTCGGCTTGGAGAGCGGCTGAGCGACTTGCTAAGATGGCTATGATGAAGAAGTCGCTGAACCGAGTGAGCGACTTGCATGGATTTGAAAACGCTCGGTTTTAGTGAGCAAAGTAATTAAGGACGGGTTTGGAGTTTTCAGAAACTTAAAAATAGAAAAGAGTAAGAAAATTCAACTGATTTGGATAGTCTTTTGTAATTCTCAATAATATCCAATTTTTAGGGTTTTGAAAACAGAATTTTTTTTTTTTAAAAGAAAAAACCAAACAGTCCTAACTTGTTTCCACATGATAATGTAAAAAGCACTGAGAACCAAAAAAAGGAAAAAAAAAAGAAAGAAAGAGATTGAAGGTGTGTGAAAACGGGGTGTATAATAGCGACAAGGGTACCGGGAGGTCCCGAGCTTTCCGGGGAGAGTGACCCAAAAGAGAGAGCAGAGTATTTATATTGAAGGGTTTAATCCTCAAATATAATATGTAATGAAGTTCTTTAATCTTAGGTAAATTTCTAAATGTTTTATGAAGTTATTTTATCCGTGTACAATTTTTATTGTTTCACTTTTTGGGTCACTTGTGATCATATTTCATTTTTTTTAACTAGTATTTTTTAGGTTTCATACTAAATACTACCTACCGTTAACTTTAGAAAGTTCTTAAACATTGATGGCTCCCTTTATATTTATTGGGGTGACAAATTATGAAACGATCCATTAACACGATTCGAATATGATAAATTGATTTGGGTTGATCTTAAAAGGGTTCGGGTTATAAACGTATTGATATGATTAACTCGTTTACTTAATTGTATCATGTTAAAGTTATACCTTATAATTTTTCTTTCTTATTTTGAATATTTGGGTTAATTGTAATAATTTTTTTTTAATTATTTGATTAAATATTAAATGTCTCTTTTTGATAAACATGTCATGGGTTAACAAGTTTACCCGTTTAATAAACGGGTTGGGTTAGTGTTGAGGGATCATGACATGATTGTTAAATGAGTTGGGTTTGGATTTACCTGTTTAGTATAATACTCTTACATTGACACGACACGACTCGATTATGACTCATGAACACGAATTGTCACTCTTAATATTTATGTATATTTTTTTGTTTTTCAAGTCTAAAGGCTTTTATTATCATTGTGTCATTGAAGATGCAAAATAAATCCTCATTAAATTTGGAAAGAATAATTCTACACTTTAAATAATTTTTAACTCATTTTTCCTCTATTTTCAGTTTATTTATAGACTGTTACATATCTTCTAGAAGTTTTTTAACTAACTCTTTGTATTGAGCTATTCTTTCTGGGCTCTTCTTGGTTAGAGGCTTAATTCCCTTTATTCGAAATCGGGCTTCCAATACGATTTTCTGGTCTTGGGCCTGACCATTGAAGACTTGGTTCGTAGCAGTTGCTCTTGTCCGATCCGTTCTTGACAGTCTGGATCGCGCCCGGCCCATACCATTTTTGGTATCCTCAATCACACAAGCGGTTTCAAAAGGTTTAGAACCAACATGTTATATTATAATTGTGTCACACCGGCGGTTTTAAGAGAGATTATTCTGAATACATGTTTGTAATGCAAAATGAGTGTGTGATCTTGTAATTGTATTCATAGGGTTTAAAAGAGATTACTCTCAATTCACATTAAGAAAATGATTGCTCATTGTTTTGTTTTTGTTTTTTTGTTTTTGTTTTGTTGTTTTTTTTTTTTTGGTCCTTTCACTTCAGAAGCTGAATGGCGTTGAGATTAAAAGAGATTACTTTGAATTTACATTAAGAAAATTAAGAAAATGATTGCTCATTATCTTTTTTTTTACTTATTATTTCTGTTATTTTTGTTTTTTTGTCCTTTCACTTCGGAAGCTGAATAACGTTGAGATTAAAAAAGATTACTCTGAATTCAAATTGAGAAAATGATGGCTCATTATTTTGTTTGTCCTTTCACTTCGGAAGCTGAATGCTCTACTAATTAAGCTACTGGGAATATAAGAGAAGAGCTACCCTTGCAAGACAAGTTAATGTTGGCTCTTATTTGATTTGGGAACACAACACTTTTACAAGTCTATTTGGGAGACAATGTAGGCCATTTCAATTGAAAAGTGATTGTTCAATTTTTTTTTTTTTTTGGCATACTTTCAATTAATATTTAAAATTGAGTTAGAATAAAAATCCACCCCTGTATAGTGCTTTCTCAATTATTATATTAAATTTCTTTTTTAACTCAATTTTGAACTGTTTTTTCATAATTCAATTTTCATCGGAAAATAAAAAATTGTTATTGGAGGATACCTTGTGTCAAAGGCATAACGTAGGTGTGAGCGAGAGATGAACGTGACTGAATTATCGCTGATGCTTCAAGTTTGGTTTCAGCAGACCATTTTTTTATCTTTTAAAAAACAGGGATTATTAAGTATAAATGGTGTTAATGATTTATATTTATCATTTGATAAAATTAAAGTCTCATAATTTCAAAAAAAATAAAGAAAAAAACTATTTAACCCTGTAGAGATAGTACATTTAGACACATATGTACCACTTCTTATACAGGTACCACTTTTTGTGCTGCACAAAAAAGTAGTACCTGATGCACACAAAGTGGTACCCATATGAATAAAAGTGGTATCTCTATGCCTAAAATAAAAGTGGTACTTGATACACCAAAAGTGGTACATGCGTGCACAAAAAGTAATGCTTATGTGCCTAAAAGTGGTACTTATGTAGAAACGAACGATTTTTTTTCATATTCACGTCAGTATTTTGATGAACTCCATTTTTTCGAAATTATGAGACTTTGACTCCATCAAATGATAAATATGGGCCATTAACACCATATATATATATATATATATATATATATATATATGTAATAATCCCTAAAAAAATAAAATAAAATGCATGTATTATGTTTACCTACTTTCTCTTTCTTGTTCATGCTTTGATATCTATTTACTTTCCTTTTAAATAACCTTCTTGTAGTAGTATCATGTCATCAAAATAATTGTCTCTCGAGGATTTTTAGAAATTGTTTTCCACTTCTTGAAAATGAAAATAAGATTACATAAACATGTCTACATATGAACAATTTCAAAAATAAGTTACCGAGAGAGATGGATTTGTAGGCCAAAAAAAAAAAAATCTCCTTTCTTCCCACCCACAAAAAAAAATGTTATTTTTTCGGACTTAACTTTAAGAGGGTAATTTTTAATATTTTCTTGTTAGCACGGTAAGAAATGAATTTTCAGTTATATTCTTATATGGCGTACATATGCGTATATAACTTCAAAGGTAAAGAAGGTAAATTTGTGATATTAAAAAATAATACTTTAAATTTTGGAATGAGTCGCTTTTTATTTTATTTTTAGACGGTCAAAAATAGAAAGGTAAATCCATTAATATTATTATTATTTATTTTTTAATTTTTGGGACAAAGGAGGAATACTCCTTAATTAAAAAACAGTCGTGTATTATTTACATGCAGGAGCATCGCAAATGATGCGTGGGCATGGACCCCACGTAAGACTTAATTTATCGATCTATCGTTATCGCCCTCCGATGCATTACTGTCCTTGTACTGCACTGAATCAGCCTGTTTCTACGTGGGTAATCGAAGACAGCTATTTCCACAGTGTTTTAAATGATCGTTATGTAACACACTCCCTGATCTCTCTAATTGCAGACCCATGATTGTTCGTCTGATGCAATCTGGACCGTCCTTCTTCGTATTCCCCAGTTCTTACCTATGGCCCACACTCATCAATCAATGAAGTCTGGTGTCTGAGAAAAATAAATGACTACATATGCATATGTTATCATGTGATTACGTGGGGACCACCCGTCCCTTTGAATCGTTGCTACCGTACTCTTGAGCAATTTTAACCGACATCTGAATTATATGTAACACATTGTAACACAGTTTGAGGAATCTAATATTTATCTAATATATATTACAAAAATATTGTTAATTTGAGAATGCAAACATTTTTATGGTTTTGCATTTTCAGTTTGATAAATTTAATTGTGTTTTATTCTTTATATTATTCTAATTTAATTATACCATAAAATATAAAATACAAAACGTCCAACTTCTTAAATATTACTCATTTATTTTTATTACTTTCGATTAAAAAAATGTTACATCACTTAAATTTATTTTACAAAAAGAAAATCAAGAGAAGTTGAGCAACTGGTTTAAGCTTTAATGTGGTAAGAATTGTAGGATCAAGTATCATGTACAATCAAAGGCAAAAAAAAAAAAAAAAAAAAAAAAAAAAAAATGAAAAAGAAAAAAAGGGTCATGGTCTTTATAGGACTTATTAAATTATTTTTCATGCTCCATCAAAACACAGCAAGTTTTTATTTATTTATTTATTTTTTTAAGTAGGTGATTCTCTTTGACGGAATGAGAATATCTATGCGTATGAGAAAATATAATGTGTCGGCGAAACTCACACAAAATGCACACAAATGACTTACCTCTCGCTACCTACCAACTCAGTTATGCCCCTTGCACAAGACATGTAGTTTATAAAACAACAATTTCAACCTTTAATATTATTCACACAATGAATGAAAAGGACACAAATTCGAACTAAGGGTTAAACACTCACGGTGTGCACAATGCACACTCTGCCCAAACACAACCCTCAACACGTGGTTATATGGGCCTCTCAAAATACTGTTTATAAATTGCCAAGTAGTGATTTAGGGATCGAATTCGCCACTTACCGAATTCAATTTATGTGAGTGAGACAGTGGGTTCCATCATATGATGTCACCAAACATCGACACCCACCATCTCTTTCACATAAATTAAATTTAATATTTACCGAATTTAATTCTTAAATTATTATTCTAAACTGTCTTGCATGTGTCTGCATCCAGGCACAACAATGTTGGTTGACTAGTCCAACCATCTAGCCACGGGAACCAATTATAAACCTACAACATACATGATCCTTTCTCGATTGCCCCCTCATAATAGTTGACACCCTCAACCGTGTAGGGTTATTAGCAAATGAACATCCCAATGTGTAGTTGACATCCTCAACTGCTAGAAACATCGGCCAATATGCTAAGCCAACAGGAGCAAACTGCCTTCAAGCGTACCTTGGTCTGCCATAGACAATGCCGCATGTCTTTATCAGCATCATGCCCCCTCAAACCTAACCACGTATCAGAGTCATATGTTTTTTTTACTATCGTGTCAACTAATGATAGCAGGGACCAATGATTCAGGACTTCGTAATAATGTCAAACGGATAAAATAATGAGAACATTTTATTTGTAGTAATTATTTATTATTATTATTATTATTATTATTATTTATAAAATATGAATAATGATGTACCATGTACGTTATACAGAATCACTCAAATTATTCTACAATTATGAACTTTTCATATTCAAATGATTATGAAATTACATTGAAGAAAACGTCCATTCTCCTCCTCCTCCTCGTTGTATGAGGTTGGGCCTTAAAGTACCCTTTGAACCGATAATGAGTGTATACTGTAGAGTAATTGTATCAGGGTATTTGGTGCCTCTTACTCCTCTCTCTCTCTCTCTCTATATATATATATATATTAAAGGTCATTATTATAATATAAAAAAAAAATTTAAAACGAAAAACTAAGCAAGAAATGCTAAATCTATAGTAATTCTCTTTTTATATTGGTACAAGAAAAATAATTTTTTGAAGTCACTTGAGAGGGTCGGAGACCAAACCGAGTACGTTTTTGGCCTGTCGATACATGTTTCACATGCAAACATGAGATGGTCAAAAATACGATTTGACTATTCCGATGTTTGATTGATTTTAAATAGCAAATTTCTTGATTTAAAAAAGAAGAAGTAAGAAGTAGAAGGACAAGGAATCATTCGTTATTGGACGTATTTTTTGATTTCCTGAAAACACACATTTGTCTGGTAAGTACAAAGAGCCTTTGAACCCCCTTATAATATTTACCTTTTGGCGCATTCTTAGAAGCTAGTATCATATTCCAGATTCCCTTATGGTATCTGCACAAATTTTAGTAAATGATAACTTGCACGCACACTTGTTACTTTCACTTTTTTTTTTTTTTTTTTTTTTTTTTTTTTTTTTTTGTTTTAACTTAAAATATACGTTATTCATTATAGCAATGTTATTTTAGTCGATAATTCAAACCTACACGACACTAGATGAAGAGCTTTTATAGTGATAAACATACGTCCCACTCGAAACATATTTAAGTATAAGTATGTATTTATAAGTGTAATTTTCTTTTTTTATTAGTTATTTGTGTGTAAATTTATCTTAGGAAAAAAATAATCTCAACGTAAGCATTTATGCATACCATCTTCTGTCCGGAGGAGAGATGGGCATATGTGGTTGAGGAGAAGGGATAGGTTATATAGTGAAGTCCAGCCAGCCCAGTGGGCTAATTAGGAAACCTAGACTCTGTTGTAAAAAGAGTTTGGGTCAGTGATCACAATAAGACATATCTGCCACGGCCAAACCAACTGAACAAGGTATATCAGCCCAAGCCCAGTACTTGGAAGGAACCTTCCTGTCCTATCAAAAAGGTGTATCTGACCATAATATATTGACAGATTGAGTAAGCTAATCATCACACTTGAATAGTCAGATCAAGTCAAAACCGAGGCTGAGAAAAGAGTCCGGATCTTCTGCAGTATAAGTGCGAGTCCGGTCTACATTACATATGTGAGTGATGCGTTAAATGCAATACATGCAACACTTGTTGTACTGTCTGATCACTCGCACGAGAAAGGGTGTTGCCCAACTTAAGCAGTACAATAACAATTTATGAATCCGGCCATGCTTGTTATATCTTTTTCAAATTGTATTATTCTCTCTCTTATATATATATATTTTGGGTGGACTAAAATTGTCCATAATAAATTTTTTATTTTATTATCCCGACAAACATTTAACATCTTATAAAAACAATACATGAGTTATCCCTTGTTAAGGTAAGACGGTGGATCAAATCACATACAAACTTATTAAAAGTAGCACTAAGTAGACTCCACAACATAACATGAAAAGACAATCCTTTAAAATGGTGCACTGACCAAGTAGACTGTCAAAGCCAGAAAAGGCAGAGGGTTAGGGCCACGTGAACTAATAATAGCCCTAAAAGCAAAGCTTGTCCGTCACGCACAAGTGACTAATTTCTAATTACCTTTGACAAGTGCACAGTATTCCTCATTGATAGAATACATGAAACAATTGCCGAAACCCAAGGTGACAATGACATATTCGTCTGCGATACTTGAGCAACGGAGACACCTATGGCTATAACAAACCCCCACCAATCCCAGAAAGCATTAGACATTCCATAAACCAAAAGCTTGCCCATCATTGAAAGGTTTCTTAGAACCCCCATCCGTAGTTCAAACTCCATGATTTGGTAAGGAGGCTCATTACTACCGAGTCGTAGATCCGTCATGGAAACCCATAGAGAGGTAACACTCGGATGGAAAGAAACAAAGGAAGTCTAGTACAGAGGGCAGGACCCAAAACAACACAAGTTGCAATTTAGCACCAAAAAGGAGAATAAAACAACTAGAACAATACCTGGATCAAAAGAAAAGAGAGGCAAAGATAAACTTGCTGGAATTGCTAATGCTAAAAACGGAGTAACGACACATCCCCTAGTAGAAAGTCGGTACCGGTGTATCCAAGCCGGTAAACCGATTTGATCTTCTATAGGAACATCGATAAGAATAGAAGAAAACATGGAACCCAAATCAGAAAACTTGAGACCAGAAAAGGATGGGAAAACAACCTGAGGTCCCAAATCGAGTAAATTTTTTTTATTTTGGGCTTAGTTGAAACCCACCAAAACAGATTGAGGCCTAAATCGAAAACTTTAAACAAGCCATTAACATCGCAACCTTCATTATCATTAAAACTTTTCCTTCTTTTTTAAGGTAACTTCACGTTTACCACTGTCCCTAGGTCTTTCCACTCCAAAACATCACACTTCAAACTCATCATATACACTCTTCTTACACCAAAATATTTTCAACACTCACTGAACATGGTTATGCAAGTTAGAATTTAAAAATTTTTAGAAGGAAAACTTAAGAGACCGGACATGTGAAAAATATGTATACAAATATCTAAAAACGAGAAAATAATAGAAATGGTAACTTTATTAAAGAAACCTTAAAAAACTAATGAAAAATTGTAATTCTAGAATAACATAGAAAATCTAAGGGGGTAAGAGTTACTTATAAATACCAAATACAATTAACATACATTGAGCCTCGATTTGAATATCGAAATTAATTACAAGATATAACAACATTTCAAAAGTAGACAACATATTGGAGATTCGATACATGGACTGATCTCATAATACCTCCAATTACACAGCCGAATGACCAGTTACAAAACACGGTTGACAGATCCAACCAAAGAAAGTTAGAAAGAAATCTCTGAAAACACTAAAATCAATGGGACAGATCCCTCCCAAGGGACCTATTCCTCCTTATCGATTCAAATGAGTATTACAACAGTGACAATCCTAAAAATGGCGAACAATTCCTCTTATTCAAATGGGAGGAAACACAAGGGTGGTCTGAAAGAAGTATACATTGACGCTTATTTTTGGTTCTGCTCCACCTTCGCTCGGATCTTCTGTTCCAAAACAGATATCTCGGTCTCAAGACTAAACATTCTGTTAAGAGCATGCATATTCTCAAGGGTCTCACTCAAGGTCCGGCTGTCACTCCCATCACATCTCAAGTGCTGCATTGGACCGTGAAGGAGCTTGTTCACTATACCTCGGCTAAGATCATCCACAGCCCTTCTAGTTTTCTTTGAGATATCATCACCCATTTTTGATAAGCATTTGTCTAGCTCTGCAACTCTGATTCTTTCAGCATATGCCCTTAATTTCTTGATTGTCGGAACAGTCTCGAGTGAATCCCTCCAGGCTTCAAATTGTTTAGATTCCTCAGCAATAATGGACTGAGCTTCCATTGCTTTTCGGAGCCGATCCTCCTTATTAGCAGCCACAACCTCCTTAAGATCATCCACATTGTAAACTCGCGCAGTCTCAACATCAGTAACACAGGAACCCACATTCCTAGGAACAGATATATCAATGAAGAGCCTCAAATCCCCAACATCAGGACCAACAGGAGGAAGATCCATTACATGTTCTTTCAAAAATAATGGGTTTTCTGATGCTGTGCTGGTGAAAACTACATCAGCTTCAGCAGCACATGTTAACATCTCAGTTAGTGGTTTATAGATTATCTCCACACCTTTCAACTCCTCGCGGATGGCTGCAACTCTCTCCTCACTTCTGTTTACAACCACCATTTTCGTGCATCCTTTTGCTACTAAGTGTTTGATTACAAGTTTTCCCATCTTGCCAGCTCCAATCACCAGCATCCGAGCACTAGAATGTGAGGACTCAGGCATCTTCATCAAGGCCAATTCCACAGCAGCTGAACTAACAGAAACCGCCCCTGCTGCAATGTTTGTCTCAGTTCTAACCCGCTTTCCAACAGTGATTGCATGCTTAAACAACCCGCTAATGTTCCTCCCAAATCCTACAACTCCTTGCCCAACTTTGACAACTTGTTTAACCTGAGCAAGAATTTGACCTTCTCCTAAAACCAAGGAGTCTAGGCCTGCTGATACTTCAAAGATATGTTGTGTAGCATCTTTGTTATACAACAAGAATCGGTGCTGGCAAAGATCAGAAACAGGGATGCCACTTGTCTGCCAAGAAAAAATACAAATAAATTAACAATGATAGTCACAATAATTAGGAAAGGGAGGGGAAAAAAAAAAAAATCCAAAAATAAGATCTGAAAATTTAATATCTTAATTAAGTCAAAATAACTCTAATTATGAATGCATGAGAAGATTTCATTCAACACAATACCCAGGGACGGAGCCAGGAATTTGGCTCAGGGGGCATATTAAATGTTAAAAAAGAAGGAAAAAAAAAAAAAATCTAGAAACAGCTCAACAAGACAAATTTAGGATTTGATTGAAAAAAGGGAATACAAATTTATTTGAAGATAATTAAACAGAAAATTAAAGAAGAAGAGTAAGAAGGAAAGAAAGAAGGAATTATAAAGTATTTTTTAAAAAAAATAATTTCAGGGGGTGCATTATGTAAATTTCTATAACTATACTCATATTCATATATATATATATATATATAAACAATTGAATGGGCCAACATGGGCCCAGGGGAACCCGTCCCCTAGGTCTATATATATATATATGAATATATAAACAATTGAATGGGCCAACATGGGCCCAGGGGAACCTGTCCCCTAGGTCTATGCTGGCTCCATCCCTTCCCATAGCATGGTGCATCTAGCTCACAATGCTTATGCACAAAATGCCTTCCACTGCAGCAAAAGTTATATCATGGAAGATTAAATCATATGATTTCATGAGATGGTTTATTAATCTGATATGGTAATATAAAAATGTACCATTTGAATCTCAAATTGCAGCTAAAATAAAGATAGGACCAAAGGGAAAATGAAAATCACCTTTGACATCCATTCAGTAACTTCCTTGACTCCACGATGCTGAGACAATGCCACAACATATATCTCCATCCTGTTGCATGTACTAAGAACAGCAGCCTCTTCTATATGATTCAAACTACAAAGCTCCCCAATGGCTCGTGGCCATTCTGCTTCTGGAATGGCAAGTTTTTCACGCATTTCAACAGGTGTAGTGTGAACACTAAGCCCAATGACCACAATGCTGCTCCTTTCCTTTGTATATCCTGACAGGCATGAATTTAGAAGTTTCAGAAAAAGACTAATCTAGAAAAAAAATTCAAGTAATTCTAGCAAAATACATAAAATAAATTATCAATGAAGGAAAAGCTTAATTAGGTTAATTTTATAATAATTCATAGAATGAATCACTTATGAATAATGCAGTCTAGAACTTGGAAAGATCCATATGGATTATACAACCGAAGCAATCAGAAAACATCATGTTCGTAGGAAAAAAAAAAAAAAACCTCCGGAAGTCTAAAAAAGAAGATCCTGCGCGGGCGAGAGAGATGGCCCCATGGAGTAGAAAAACGTTAGTTCAAGCAAACATTGAGGTTCAAACGGCAGATTCCCTATCAATAGAGAACAGGTATACCTAGTTATACTTGTCATTTTAGAATTGTGGGATGGGTACAAATATGACATTTGACTTTAAACAGAATCAATAACAAACAAAAATTAGCATTGAGGTTCAAACGACGGATCCGTATCAATAGAGAATAGGTATACCTAGTTATACTTGTCATTTTAGAATTGTGGGATGGGTACAAATATGACATTTGACTTTGAACAGAATCAATAAGAAACAAAAATTATAATTTTTGTGGGTTCCAGAAATTTGTTGATTTTTATAAGAGGAAAATCAATGATAATGAAGCAACAATTCACACAACACAAACACAAAAGTTTGTCATCTTAAATTGAAAGGCCTCACAATATAAATAACATGAACTTTTCCAATTAAAATTTATAATCTAAAAAGAACAGTCCACCCTCATAACCTGCACCAAATAATTTGAAACCAGTGGCCTTTGAAATTAGTGTCAAATCATAGAATAAAAAATTACACCCAAACCAATTGCTGGAACCCATAAAAATTATGTAAAGCTATGATATTCTTTCATTTATTTGTTATCTTTATTTGTTGGTGCTTGCAAATTTTCTGATACACTGATCTAAATTATGAAAACTCAATGAACTAAATCAGTTAACGAAAAAACTAGAAATAAAAATCAATTAAACAGTCAAGTAAAATAAAACTAAAAAATTGAAGTGGAATGCACATTCCATCTCCAAAAAAATTCAAAACCCATTTCCACAATCGAATAGAATTACAAAATATATAGACAAAAAAAGAAAAAAAAAGAAGAGAAATTTAGACATACGATCAGCAGCGGAGGTTTTGAGCTGTTCGAGAGCAGAGAGGCTGGAAGACGAAGCCGTGTTGGTGTCGATCTTGTCAGAAGTCTGAACCAAAACATCAGAAGCAACCTCAGACCTGATTGTGGGGTTGAAAGAAGCCCATCCTCTTTGAATTAGGGTTCTTCTGGTCCGAGTGGGTTTGCAGAACACCCCAATTTGAGACGGCGACGACCTCGTTGAGGAATTGTTGCCGAGGAGGAGAGTCTCGAGCTTGGCCCCTGCAAACGCACTCGAAACCGCCATAGCCAGAAATGCTATCAAAACCCTAACACGAGGTTCTAGAGAGAGAATTTTGAGGAGAGAGAAAGGATGGGAGGTGGGGAAGAGAAGGGTTTATGGGGATGGGGGTGTTCTGAGAGGATGGTTTGATCTTTGGAAGGACTCAAAAAGGAGGTGCGCTGTGTGTTTGATTGGTTTTATTTTTAGTTATTATTGTTTGGGTGAAGAGAGAGAGAGAACGGGGGGCTTATGTGGGAAAGTAGTGACCCTGTTTGGTTGTGGGGACAGAGTTGGAGAGCCCAAAAGGGAGTTTAGATTTCTTTGCGTTGTGATTGGCGGATGGAATCCACGTTTTATCCACACGCACCCCATCCTGGCTTTAAGATCCACTTGTGTGGGGGTTCGAGCGTATATTAGCTTAATAGCAAATCAAAATTCTCTTAACGGGAAATTTATTTATTTATTTTTTTCTCTTGAATTAATCATTAAGTTTAAATATTTACATGATTTAATATTATTCATTAAATATACCAGCTAAAATTAATAACAGTGAACAAAATGATGGTTCGACTCTCCAAAGTAGTAAAACGAGTGTGTGAGTTTCTTGTTGATGGTAATAGAAAAAAAAATTAAAGAAATTGTAATGAAAAATGAGAGTGAGGAAGTGTGGCCCAAAAAAGGTTCAAAAGCGGGATTGCTTCTATCCTATGTAGCACAAACGCGGATACGGGATACGGACATGATACGATACGAATATTTCGACACGTAAAATTTTTTAAAAAGTAGGATACAGGTACGGCGTGAACAGTGTTACATATAAATATAGATTTTTATTTTTATATATCTATTCAGTAATAGTATTATAAAACTTTAATTCATTTATAATTTCTATACCATATGTTGTTCTAAAATGAATTAGAATATGAAATTATGTCATTATTGGAATGATTTTTACTATTTTGTCATGATAGTATTCATATTATTTTCAAGATTAGTGGGTAGACTTATATTAGAAATGTCCGAGGAGTGTCGACAAAATATTTGGAAAGTGTCTAGGACATGTCGGTGAACTGTACGAAATAATAAAATTAATTTTTATTTATTGACACGTATATGAAATGTCCGACACATATTCAAAGAGTGTCGATATTTGGCACCGAAACGCCTTTTTTTTGTAGAAGTACCCATACTTCTTATCTTCTATTTAAGTTTCAATTGAGCTTGAGTTGTCTAAATCATTTTCTAAGCAAATCCCAAAATAGACTAATACACAGAATTCTTCTCACTTCCAAGAAATCTGAATACCCCTTTGGGCCACTTCATGAGAAAATTGGGAGTTGGTACCCCCTTATTACCCACACACTTGTGTTTGTAGATTTGGTGGTCCTCCATTTTCTTTGTATAAATTAACTTAACCCAGCCTAGATGGTGTTCCATGACATGCCAAGAATTAACAATAAGATAAATTAATATTCCACTAGAAATTAGAGTACAGCATCAAATTTTTTATTCAGTATCATTTTTTTTTTTTAATATCATGTGGTCTTTATTTAATGCCTTGTCTTGGCACTATAATGCCCCCACTTCACTACAATTATATATATATATATATATATATATATATATATATATATATATATATATATATGTATGTATGTATGTATGTATATGTATGATAGATATATAGAGAAGAAAGAGATAAGATACAAAGAGGGGAAGGCATGAAGAAATGTGATGGAGATTGCTTGTTAAGATTTCATGGTCTCCATCCGCCACAACTCTCTAAAGAGAAAACGGTGGACGAGAATAGAACTCACACTTGAGATCTTCTCTGTATCATTCATGTCCCCAAGGGACCACACTTTAGATAACTCTTCCACTTGTCATTTTTACACCAAGAGAAATGAACAGTACTCCAATATGCAAGTCTCTCTCTCACACAGAGGTAACGAATTGCATTGCTAAAATTGTAATTGCCGAGATATTCTCACAGATAAATTTTAAAGTATCAATTCGATGATACCAAACATAGTATTATAGAAAATTAAAATAATCAAAATTTAGTATTTTCACTAGTCATGACATGTATATATATTATTTGGGTAGGGTAGGGAAATGATGACTCAAATATGTCCAAACCCATTTGAAAAGTTGAACGCTTTACCAACTATGCTACCGGGTAATGCAAAATCATACTCGAATTGTTGTTGTTGTTGTTTTTTTTTTATTATTATTTATTTATTATTTATTATTATTATTATTTTTATCTCGTCATGATATTTTGTAAACAACAGAAGACAAAAGATGAAGAAAAAAAGAAAAAGAAAAATAAAAATGTAACAAAAAACACACATAACAACACATAAAATGTATTACAAAAAAGAATTAAATTCATATAGAAGAAAAAAGAAATTTTGGAAGAAAGATTAAAATGTACCAGTGCAAATGCCTATGATTACCGCGTTATTGCTGTTGATTAAATCAAGTTCAAGTTACTTAAGATGGTTGTTCAAGGTTAATTATCCAACTCAATATATGGCATCGATAAAATAAAACCAAATTTTCTAAAAAAAGTAAAAATAAACATAAAAAATGTGCAAGACGCAAAGTTCATCTACTTAGTGCCATCAACTTTTTTTAGAATACCTAGACTTGCAAATCAAATCCGACATTCTTGCCTTTATGTCCAAGGTTTCTTATATAATCTAGTTTAATTGTACCCATGAGATGTATTAAGGTTTACTCAGCATTACAAATGTTAGGGTTTCCATATTTGGAAAAAAACTTTAACTTGAATTAATCTTCATTCCTATTCGATCTCGTAGTAGTACATGTTCAGCTTGATTTCAAATATACAACTGTGCATTTATACCTAACTTTTTCTTAGGTTCTGGAGAATTAATTTTCAATACTCGAGTAAAAGGGACTTTATCTCAATCCAACAATTGTGTTTTCCAAGTAATCAGGACATTGTGTTTGGTGTAATGTATTATACTATTATTAGGTTACATGACTCAAGGTAAACATGTATAAATATTGCAGTGTAGTCCACATACATGTCTTGTAATTTATCTTATTTCGTACAGTCTATAATGTTAATTAATATGAATGTTTGTGAAAGTCTTAGTAATTCAGTGTTTGTCAAAGTCTCCGTTCCACATACATGCAATCTCTCATTCCACGTACACCAGACAATTATTGAGAAAATTTTTCGAAAGCGGTTGCAGGGAGATTCAAACTTTTTTTATTTCCAATAAGGTAATTAATTTCATTAAAAAAACAATGGCTAGCTTCTGAGAATAAGTAGCCAAACATAAAGAACCCTAGAGAGCAAAACTCCCAGCAAGTAAAAGAAACAATCAAAGAAAGGAAATGGAGCTAATAAGCAACCTAAACAATTTCGGAGATTCAAACTTCCTGCCTCTAAGATTGAAAGTGAGAATCTTTGTCAATAGACAATTCCTTAAAATTTTGTAACGAAAATAATGAGCTAAGTCATAATGTATGTAAGTGTGTGGAGTGCATGTCTTGTATGATTTTCAGATTTCAAGCTAGCCTTTGCATAAGTTTAATTAACATCTTAGTTAATGCGTGTGTTTTAATAGACATAGGCCAAAAAGCAAGAGAAAGAATATTCGACGTAGCATATTAACTTAAGATCCAAAATCTTGTAACTGCTCGATCAGTCCTTAAAGTTGGCAAAGATTATTCTTTAATTAATTAATTATTTGTTTTGTAATAAAAACAAGTGACTCTATTTAGACCTACAATCAGCAACTTCAAACCATCATGGGATACACACACTCATAATTAGGCATCTGAAAATCTTCATAATTAAGACCAAAGTTTTCGTTATTTTATTTTTGGGCAACGCTTTGAATCAACCCTTCCCTTTGAAAACACTTGATCACTAATGGCTTGCGAATTTGACTTGTTTATAATTAAGCAAAATTTCCAACCCCAAGTTTCTAACTTGGCTAGCTCAATGTGTAGCCATAAGTAAAACATTGAATTTCAAAACCTTGACTTTTTCTTGTCTTCTATGCTTTTGAAGATGGCTATATTTCATGGGGTTCCATCTAGTGCACAGACTACTATTTCAAAACTACGACTTGAAAAGGGTTACAATTTTTTACATATTTAGAAAAAAATAAAAAATTGTCGAGAGGAAAGATAGTTTATTAGTTTATTCATCCTCTTTTTCTTTTCTCACCTTGTCGATCTCCTCTTTATCAAAGTCAACAAATTAAGCAAAAAATAAAAATTCCAACTTCTTAGGATGGGCTGCTTAAACCTTCTTTTGTCATCCGCTCTAACGTCACAGCTTCAACTAAACCATTTTTAATTTTCTTATCTTTTTCTTTTTTATTTTCTTATTTTTTCTTTCTGTTCATTTTTTTTTCCTTTCTTTCTCGTTATTTGATTCTCTTCATACTGTTGGATAATTTTTTATTTTTAATTATGATCCATTTTAGCTTCTAATCAATGAGTGGTAGAAATTGTAATGTTTTACTGTCTTCCACATTTATGTAGAGAATTATGTAGTATTGTAGACAGAGATTGAATAATACTAAAACATTGAAGAGATTGGTAGATTAAGGAAGAATCTAAAATAGAGTTGGAAAATATGTATGGTGTTTTAGAGTAGTGTTTTCGTAAATGTTACTAATAGATTATAATGTACAATAACCATTTATTAGGGTGGAGGATGACTATATAATGGATAAAAGTGTTACTCCCTATTTGTGATTAAGTGCAGAGACTAGGTGAGATTATGACTAATTTTCAAGATTCTCAATGACAATAGCATTAGTCACTAGGTTGGAAATTTTGAATTTTAGAACTGCACTTTTCCATTTTCAGCCGGCATATTGCTTATATTACGGTTGCTATGTTTATGTTAGACCTGATTGTAGGTTGAAATGGATAGACGTTATCTTCAATCATAATTTCATACTACATACAAATAAATCAAGATCCAATTAAATCTCACGTGATGACTAATTTTTGTTTCTTATTATTGTTCTATATTAATTTTTGTTTCCTATTATTGATCTAGATTAATTTTTGTTTCACCCATCACAATATTTTTTTTTATGAATTTTAACAAAAATAAATAATAATAATAAAAAAAAAATTTGAAAGACTGCATTTCATTTTTGTTTCCAATGAGAGTGGATAACTCGAAAAGCAAATGAATGGTAAATGCAATGAGTTCCCATTTGACCCGAGAAGTATGTTGGTCATGACAAATCCTATTCT